TCTCTGTTCTGGCTACCTTGGCCAATCTCACATTTACCCTTGCCTTAGTGAGTTATTCGGCCACTTTTCAAGGTAATATTGATGTCGCCATGAATACCTTCCAAGAATTGACCAAAATTACTCTGCTGTCCTCAACCATACTACAAATAAATATAATGACGTGCCTGAAAAGTAATTTTAGATGTCAACCATAAAGTCAAGTTTTTCACAAATGCACAACTAAACATTGAACTTCCTTTTCTGCATCTAGTAGTTTGAAGAACAGATTTGATAAAACGTTACTGAAGATAACACAAATTGAATACCAAAATCGGAACTTGTTTAATTGCTTAAATACAGAATTCCAACAAAATAGAAAAGTTGTAATTACAGGAAGGTTGCAATTACACAAAGGTTATAATTACTGGAGACACTTCTAAAAATATGTTGATTTTAACAATCACACCTGTAGGCCCACAAAACTAACCGAGACCAAAGCGTTCCAACCTGGGTGTTAGAGAATAATCAGACCCCCATTTACAATAAATTAACTATATTCTATGTTTTTGATATGTAAAATATTACCGAATACTCAACACTGAAGAAGAAAGTGAAAAAATCAAAATTGCTCACAATTTATTGGAAAAATAAGTCCAAAACAAAATCAGCTTTATTTGCTGTTGGCTCAGTCTCTTTGTTCATGAACAAAATGTTATAATTAAAGTACTAAGCAGCTAAAACCAGCTGTGGCCACAATATGAAATCCAAGCAAAGGCAGGAGCAAAAATGGAAGAAAAAGGGGAAGGCATTGTGAAAAAAATAATTGCCACTTTGGCTTTTCAAACAGGAATGTCTGACAGAGCAGAAGTGTTAAAACAAACCCCTGCGTATCTTCTAAGAAATAAAAAGTAACAAAATATTCTTCCAAACTTGAAAGAGTACTCCAGCAACAAAATACTAGTATTAAAATATCAGCTTAACACAAAATCAATAAACTCTTACAATCCACTTAAAGTCAATTCAATACTGCTAAATTATTGTCTACCCATTCGTCGTACCAGATTATTGTGGTGAGTAGAATGAAGAAAGAAGCTGCTATCTGGAAGAAAATCCATTATATTACCATTAGCATTTCATGCTCTACTATACAATTTCTACCTTTGTTATCTTAACTGAAACTAGATGGCAATGAAGCAGAGATATCAAGGAAACGGATAATCTGTTTAACCTGTTTTCGAGGGGCTGTTGATGGCAGGACCTTGCTGAAACTCCCTAAAGAATCTCAGATCACCATAACGGTGGAATGATTATCACTTATTACTGTAATGAGGAAGAAGAGTTAAAATGACAGAGAGCCAAACCAATATATACACAACCAGTATATAGTAGGAAAATTAGACATTTCAACTTCGATGGCTGAAAAAACTGAATGAGCAGTGCGTCTTGCTGATGCAAACTGAAAGCTAGATGTCTGATAAAAAGGTGGGATTTTAGTAATGGCTTCTGCAACAAAGTTGCACCATCTCCCATTTCATCTTTGTGATGTGTATTTTGTTATACCCTATGTTAACCCGTAGTTAAACTGTCTCCACATAACCTACTCATTACCATGTACTTAACTGATGGCATATTCAAAACCTGAAGTAAAACAGGATCGGGAAAGTAAAGCTAATCATGGTAGCAAAATGGAAAAGAACAAGATAGACCTATACATCAGAAAGTAGAAATGCAGCCAAAATGAATAGGAAAAAAAAATTAATTCTAACTGAAAAAAGTATAAGAAAATAATATAAGAATCCCTGTTGAACTATAAGAGGAACAAAAGTATATCAAATCTAGAAAGAGATATTTTCAGAAGAAAACAATTGATAAAAGCATAGAAGATAAAGGAAATTCTTTTTTAAAATTATTTACTGTTGCTGATCTGAATGAGGTATTTTTCTCTTTTCCCTAATTAATGTGACAAAAACAGTAGTGACATACAGAAATAACTTCATAGATAGAGATGTTATTGTACTTAAGCAAAGCAAATCACTGGAATAAAATGGCATGTATGTATCTTTTTATGTATACCCCTAAGCTCCAGGAACTTCAGAATACACGTCTGAATTTGCAATAAGCTTGCAGGCAAACACAATGTTCCTACTTGTGAAAGAAACAAAAGTTGCATGTGTCTTAAATATGTATTTTTAATTGACCAGTGAACCTTACTTCAAAAGAGGAGTTTGTTATTTACAATTATAATAGCGTAGATTAATACATAATGTGATGGAATAATATATATATAAAAATCCTCTAATATATTGTTGGTCCTCAAAAAAGACAACAAAATAGAAGATGAAGTACTGGAAATCAAGAGGAGGGTGATGTAATATATTAGAATGTTCAAATTGTGATCGAAGGACGTAGTTGAGAAAGCTGACAACTATGAGAGAAATGGATAATTTCCTCTACCTGTATTTCAAGACAGCAACAAGTCCCTCAAGATTGCATTTGAAAAATACTCTAGTGTGGTAGAGTGCAAACTGAGGTACTCTCCAGACACATAATTATTAAAAAATAATAGGTGTTTAAAAAGCATGTAGATGTGGCACTTCGGGACATGGTTTTGTGAACATGGTGGCATTGGGTTGACTGTGGGACTTGTCTATCTTATAGGTCTCTTCCAATCTTAACAGGGGATCATAGGATGAACACGAGCCAACAGTGTGCACTCGCAGCCCAGAAAGCCAACTGTATCCTGGGCTGCATCAGAAGATGTGTGGCCAGCAGGTCGAGGGAGGTGATTCTGCCCCTCT